AAACAGAGCAGACACAACTGACAACTGAGTGACATGAAGGAAAGGTTTAGGATAATCACAGATGATATAAAAGAAATAGACTAAGAATTAAGCAGTTAGAAGAAAACAGACATGGAAGATGCGCATGGTCTCTACATAAATAGAGACAACTAAAAACATGACTAAGATAAATGAAAGAATAAATAAATAAATATAGGGGTATACCATATTCATGGAACAATAAAGAATATTGTAAAAATGTCAGTTCTTCACAAAATGATAGAGAGTCAATGCAGTCTCAATCAAAATCCCAGAAGCATTTTTGAAGAAATTAATAAACTGATTCTAAAATTTAAATGTAAAGTCAAAGGGCCAAGAATACCCAAGACAATCTTAAAGAAGAACAACAAACTGGAGGACTTATACTATCAGATATCATTATGAAGCCAATAGTATGAACAGTGTGCATTGACACAAAGATAGATAAGCAGGCTAATGGTACAGAACGGAGTATCCAGAAACACACCCAAACACATATTTTTACTGAAAGCCCACTACATACTATGGGGACATTATGGTCTTTTCAATAAATAGTTCAGATCAACTAGATATCCACATGGGGTAAATAAACATTGACTCATACCATGCACAGAATCAATTTCTGTTAAATTGTAGAACTAAATGCGAAAGGTAAGATAAAGTTTCTTGGTAATAACACAATATCTTCATGATCTTGAGGTAGACAGAATTTTTCTAAAATAGAATACAAAAAGCACTAACCATAAATAAAATGACTGATAAATTTAGACTTCATTAAAATGAGTAACTTCTGTTCATCAAAAGATACCATATTAGGAGAGTAAAAAGATAAACCACCGATTAGAAGAAAATATGTGCACATACATATATTATATATATACAAAGTACTGAACTCTGGCAAATCAAAAAAAAGCAGGAAACCCCAATATTTTTTAATGGACAAAAGACTTGAAATGCACCTCACCAAAAAAAAGGATAATCAAGGCTGATGAGCATACAAAAAGATGTTCAAAAATCAGTATTTTCAAGATTAAATTAAAACCATAAAGAAATACCAGTGTACATCCACCAAAATAGATAAAGTTAAATAAAATGCAATAGCTAGTGTCAGCGAGCAACTGGAACTCTCATAAGCTGCTGGTGGGAGTGTAAACTGGGATTGCTGCTTTGGGAAACTGCTTGCCAGTATCTACTAAAGGTGAACATACATAAACCCTATGCCACAGTAACTCCACTATATATATATACCCAACCTGAAATACATATGTTTCCCAAAATAAATTGTAAAAACACTCAACAGCATTATTGCAATTGCCAAAAACTGGAAACAATTCAAACATCCATCAGTAGTACAAGGGATAAATGAGTTACGATACAGTCATATAATGGAGTACTATACAGGAATGGAAAAAAAAATTTTTGTTACATGCAACAGAAATTCAGACATACAAATGAATGAAAAACAGACACAAAAGAGTACATACTGTATGGCACTATTACTACAATTTTTTTTAAATGGCAAAACTAATTTATGGTGTTCGAAGTCAAAATATTGGTCATGACTGGGGGAGGGAAATGAGTGAGGTTTCTGGGATTCTGGTAATGATCCACATCTTGATCTGGGTGATGTTTAAATGCATATGTTCACTTTGTAAAGTTCAAATTCCACACTTATGTGTGTACTTTTCTGTATATATGTCATAACTTCACTTAAAAATTTAGAGAGAAAAAATACTTGACAAAATCCAGCCAAATAAGACGAGATTCAAAATAATGCACTCAATAATGGGGCACTGAAGGAAAAGATTTGTTAGTAAACACTAAATTCTCTTAAATATAGAACTATGGCTACACTACCATTATAAAACAGAAAGAAATGTATCAACTTCAACAATCTAAATTCATATATTCAAAATATGGTTTCTCTCTATTACTCTATCATGCTGAAAAAGCTAGACAGATTTTCACCCAATTTAGAGGGTATATTTTGGGTAATCTGACTTAAACTATAGGCTGCCTGGTATAAATTACACACTGCATGAGGCACAATCACCTCAAGGAGACAGGAAGCCGACCACCAGAGCAGCCGTAGGCCTCTGATTGCAATGGAAAGCCTTTGCTCTTGTTCAACTCTTTGTACCACACTCCAGGCTAAGTGCTAACAGGGATTTATTTAACAACAGTTAACAATTTGTCAGAGAAACTCTAGAAAAGCCAACTAGCATAATACAACTTAAAAAACCAAAAAACTTGGAGGTGGAAAGAAGGGTATGTGCACATCATTCACAGGGAACAACAATATATACTATCTGAAAAATAAAAAATAAAATACAAACTGCAGGGCCACAGTCTAAACCTACTCCAAGAACCTCCAGGGACAAGACCCAAGAGAGTCTAATGAACAGCTGTTTTTGTTGGCTTGGGCAAGCAACTTAATCAAAACCCTACAAGAAAATAGCTAGTGGAGGTATTACTGTCCTTCTAACTTAGTGAGTTCCTTCCAGAAAATTGAGCTGTTCTTAACCAGATGGGACAGGCAGGGATTCTTTAAGGATGGAACTACATGTTATCGATCTCTGTGGCTCCAGGGACCTGGCCTAGACCAGGCACATAAATTAGACCTTATACATAACTGTTGAATGTTGATTTAAAAGTACACACTGAACCCAATAACCGTTGGAACCACACTGCCAGATTCTAATGCAAGTGTTTCGCTCTCATCGACAATGAACATCTTTGGCTGTGTACTTTTCAAGGGCAGATTGATAATCAGACTCTTTCTTCTTCAGCTTTATGTCACCCCAAGATTCTGTGCTTTAAATAAAACTCTTAGGCTATTGAGGCTGAAAACACTTCCAAGTGGATAAATTCATATTTCACTCTAGTTTCCAAATATACCATATCATAATTAAGCATGGCTGTAAAAAAAATGGACAGAAAAACCTTGCTTTTTTCCATTGTTGATTAATGCTTATAGGTTTTACCATAACAGATATCTCTTAGGAACATAAAGAGAAATAGATATTGAATTGTTTAACCAACCCCTTTCCAAAAGAGATTTGAGTCTGATAAATACAAAGAACATATATATTTTTTTAACTTATTTTTTTCCTAAACTTACTGTGGTAATAATTTCATGATATATGTAAGTCAAATCATTATGCTGTACACCTTAAACCTATACAGTCAATTATATCTCAATAAAACTGGAAAAAGTAAAAATAAAAAAATAAGGCATTAGCAAAGATTTTTATAAGTGTAAATGCTGTCAGACAAGGTTATCTATTGAGCTGGAGGAAGCGATATATAATGAAAAGAGAGACAAAAAACTTCAGCTCAAATGCTTGACTTTTGTATAACTCATGTAATGATCTCTAAGGTGCTTTGCAGTTATAAAAACAGATTTGTAAGACACAAATGGGTTCCAAAACAAAAACTACAGTTAAACATGGATTCTCTGAATAATAAATCTGAAAAAAAATTTAAAAATTATGACAAAGGAAAAAGGAGGGAGCAAATATGCTAATTTTAAGGATTAATACAGTTTCTATGATTAAGCATCATATTTAGCTCTGAGCTTCCTGGTAACCAGAGCAAAAAAAGACTTGATTATACACCCCTTGCTAAAAAAGAAATGGAATACTAATTTCTCAGACGAGAACGCTTTTCCTTAAAGGGAGCCCCCAACTTTTCAGGCAGTTGAACTCTGCTTTTATCTGTTTTAGATATGGGGTATTTACAATTTATTTGAAGAAAATGTTTTGGGGCTTAAAAAAGAAAAAAAAATCTTTAAAAAAAAACTGTCTGATTCAACTCTTTCACTTTACAAACAAAAAGACAAAAAGTCAACAAAATTAATAATTAATCTACAGTTACACGGCTATCAAGCAGCTTCATGATCTTACCTAATCTTAACTTTTATAATTTCCTTTTATACGAAGAATAACCCTGTGTCAGCCATGAGGACCAAAACAAAGCAGTAAACTAATGAAGGAAATCTCCTAATAGTTCAATTTGGTATTCATTTTTTCCCCCTAACTGAAGCTGTATACATGTAGGGGATGATCCAACAGGAAATTTCCATTTGTGAACTACCCAAGGACACAAGAGAATGATAAGGTCACAGATGTTAGCTCTGCAGCAGAATGACCTATTCAGCTGTAAAGTCAGCCAACCTGCAGAAACCAAATTCTCTCCAGCACAAAGGTCCAAACAGTGCCTTGCAAAGGAAGGGGAACAGCAGTGCACAAGTTCTCACTGTAACAGAGAGCTTTACTTCTCAATCAGCAAAATTTTAGGTTAATCAAATACCTATAAAGTTAATCAAATACCTATAAAGTTAATCAAATACCTATAAAATCTAAATATTACAGTGATACCAGGAGTTATGTACATGCCTGCACAATATTTCTACCATAAAGTTCACAATTTCGTAACATCTCTCCAAAAAATTAATCCTCTTATATACAGATACATAGCTTTACATAATGACATTTCTGTAAAGAGCAAAATAATGTTCAAATGGTAAACACACCACACCAACAAACAAGGAAACTTTCAAATGGTAATTTCTCAAATACCAATGGTTCAAATGGTCAACACTTTGACCCCACCAACAAAGAAGGAAAAACTGAATTCGAGATCAACCTTAGGGGGCAACTTGGGAGAAAAGAACACAAACTATGAATTTAGTGTCCCATCAAAATCCCTCTGCCAGATCTTAGCATCCCAAGTTAGAATCTTTTCAGGAATTTAATAATTGCTACTGTACATAAGAAATATATAAATGTTCATTTTTCTAAAACCCTCTACATGTTTTTCTGTATCATAGTTTGCCTTTATATAATAATGATAAATATTTAATTGCCAAGCAATCTGTTATTATTTTCCTTACTGAGCTACTGATTTACTGCTCTAAAATTAGAATTTGTTGCAATTATAATCACAGGAAGTCCAAACGATAATTCAATAACAAAATTCACCTTTGTTATAGCTTTGGCTTTCAAACCTCCATTCTCCACAACACTGAAGTCCAGTTTGCCATCATCCTTACTTCCTATAGCTTTGAGTCCTTGCAAAAGAATATCTCGTAAATTTTGATAAAGAGGTTTTTCGGCATAGTCCAGTAATTTCACTGTTTCCATGTATTTAGCAATTTCATCTAAAAGAATAACACAATTATTTTGTAATTTTTAAATCATAAATACAACATATTTATTTCTTCTAATAAAATAATTTCTGGTTATAGTAAAATTAGAATGCAAATGTATATCTTGTTAAAATATGGTTCTTTTCCCCAATCACTTCTTCAATGGAAAGTATGCTTTTTCACCCAGGAACTGTCACGTAAATCGAATAAAAAATGTATTTTGAGATACAATGTAAAAAAACATTTTTGTAATTGTGAGAGACAATAAGATAGGAGACATACTTAAAATTCAAACATGCAAAAAAATAACTGCTATAGTTTCAAAGCTATAAAAAAGTATGAAAAGACCTAAAATAAAGATTATGAAGTAAAATGTGCTTAAGTGCAATGTATACCATGGCCAATATTTTTTTTCCATGGAAGCCACTGGTTGTATAGAAGATAGCTGCATTCTTTGTATAAATGAGAAATAAAACATCCCAAAAACAGGTTGAAGAAAGAAGGCCTGGTTTTCCCATAAAAGAGAAAAATCAGGTTCTGAATGATAAAAGGTTTACTGTACACTGAGGCAAAACCATATTCATAAAAAGAAATCTTACGTCAAGATCAACACTTCTCCACATTAAAAACCCATCTTCAGGCTAATGACTCACACATGTACATCCCCAGCCTAGCTCCTTCCCCTGACCTCCAGACTTATATATCCACTGCCTCATATATTGGTTCTTGGATATGTGGGAGATCAAAACTTGGCCACCCCAAAATATGTCTCTTTACTTTGATTATTTTCTCTGATGGACATCTGACCTCCCCCAAGCTAAAGAATTTAACACAGAAAAGACTTGTTCCAGGAAGGAGCCACTATCATACGATGGCTATAAGATAATTTAAAATAGATGTTACAATAGGAAAGGCACCAACAAGCCCATCTTATCAAAAATTCTGTCTCTCCCAGGCCACAATCTCTAGGTGGCCCTGCAAAGAGTTGCCAGACATTTACATTTATAAGGGAAATCTCCATTTGTAAAGGTATTTCCCTCTCTGTATTGAAGAGTGGGGGATGGCCTTATCTGTGGAAACTCTTATCAGTATGGAAGGAGAGGACTTAAATCTGCATACCCTTGATTACTCTAATTTCTGTTCCCCTTCTGTCTCCCTCTCCACCCTCAACATCCTCCTTTGTCTTTAGCTGAAGATGGTATTTAAGATGAGGATCTCTGTCATTTTGTCGAGAAACTCAGTTTCCCTGGTTTCTCCAATGTATACATGTTATTAAACTTGGTATTATTTTCTCCTGCTAACCTGTCTTTTAATTATTTGGCCAGCCATAAGAACCTTGAGGGAAAGGGCGGAGGGGGATTCTCCCTCTTCCCCAGCAGATACATAACTGTCACCTCACATCCAAATCTAAACTCCTGACCGACCACTAAAACCTGCTCCACCTGTCGGTTTCCCTGTCTCGGTTACTGAGAATTCCATCCTTCCAGCTCCTCAAACCTGGAATCTTCTCTTGGCCTACACCCCATATCCAATAAATCAAGAGATCCCGTCAGTGCCACACACACACATATATATACACATTCATTCATTCCAATATTTATTCAGCTCCTACTATGTGCCAGGCACAATTCTAGATACTTGGGATACATGAGGGAAAAAAGGCAAAAAATCCCTCCCTTCAACTTTCTTAATCTGATAAAGGAGATCAAAGAAAACTCGAAGCAAACATCAAGTATGGTAAAATATTGAAAACTTTCCCTCTGAGAGAGGAAAATGGCAGGGATGTCCACTTTCACCACTTCTCTTCAGTACAACAGTCATGTAAGCTTTCCGCCTACAGTAAGGCAAGAAAAGAATAGAAGGCATAAAGAGTGGGATGGAAGACATAAGACAGTTTATTCACAAACATGACAGTGTACATAGAAAATCCTAAGGAATCTATAAAAAACTACTAGAATAGGTAAATTTAACAGGTCACAGGATGCAAGGTAAATATATAAAAATCTATTCTATTTCCTTATGCTAGCAACAAGCAATTAGAAAACAAAATTTAAAAAAATATATATCGGGCCAGCCCCGTGGCTTAGTAGTTAAGTGCGCATGCTCCCTACTGGCGGCCCTGCTTCGGATACCGGGCACGCACCGACGCACCGCTTCTCCGGCCATGGTGAGGCCGCGTCCCACACACAGCAACTAGAAGGATGTGCAACTATGACATACATCTATCTACTAGGGCTTTGGGGAAAAAAAGGAGGAGGATTGGCAACAGATGTTAGCTCAGGGCCGGTCTTCCTCAGCAAAAAAGAGGAGGATTAGCACGGATGTTAGCTCAGGGCTGATCTTCCTCACAAATATATCACTTACAAGATCATCAAAAAACATCAAATACAGTGAAAGATGGGCAAGATTTTTTGCAGAGAAAACTATAAAACATAGTTGAGAGAAATTAAGTGAGACCAAATTAAATGGAGGATATACCATATTAGTGGATTGGAAGACTCAACAGTATAAAGATGTCAATGCTCCCCACTTAGTCTATAGGGTCAATGCAACCCCATTCAAAGTTCCAGCAAACTGGGGAAGGAGGGAGGGGTTGTGGAATTGACAAGGTGATTCTAAAATTTACATAGATATGCAAAATGCCAAGAATAGCAAAACAGCAAGGTCAAGTTTAAAGAATAACAGTGCTGGAGGACTTGAACTACCAGATATCAAGACTTAAGATGAAGCTACAGTAATTAAGACCCAAGAACAGACAAAAAGAACAATGAAAGAAAAGAGTCCAGACACAGATCCACAGATCCACACTTGATTTAAGACAAAGGTGGCACCATAGGAAAGAACGGTCTTTACAAGAAAGGCTGCTGGGTCAACTAGATAGAACTATGGGGGTGGGGCAGAAATATGGCCCCTCCTCATATAACACACAATAATCAACTGCAGGTCGACTATACATCTATCTGTGTAATTGGCAGTCTGTAATTGCCAAAGACTGGAAACAACCCAACAGCAGAATAGATAAATAATAGTATATAAACACAATGGAATACTATACAGAAATGAGAATAAACAAATTACTATTAAACATGCAACAATGGGACTCTGAGGATCTAAAGTACAGCATGGTGACTACAGTTAATAATACGGTATTGCACACTTAAAGTTGCTGAGAGTACATCTTAAGCATTCTCATCATAAAAAAAGTTAACTATGTTAACTATGTGAGGTGATGGATGTGTTAATTATCTTGATCTTAGTAATCATTTTACAATGTATACGTATATCAAATCATCAGGCTGTACACTTAAATATATACAATTATATTTGTCAATTATCCCTCAATAAAGTTAAAAAATAAATAAAAACATCAAAAAAAAAAAAAAACCCATGCAACAATGGGAATGAATTTCATAAACACAATACTGAGCGAAAGAAAAAGGACTCTAACAAACGAGAACGTTAATTTCATGAGAGCAGGGATTTTTATCTGTTTTGTTGGCTCTGATTCCATTTCTACATAGTTCAAAAACAAACCTTTGGTGTTGGAAGTTAGGCTAGTGATCCATCAGCCCAGAGGGAGAGGCCCGTGATTGGCACGAGGCACGAGGGGGATTCTGAGAAGCTCATGAGGTCCCATTTCTTGACGTGGTTGGTAGGTTGCAATTTTAAACAGCATAAGGTCTGAGCAAAGGCTTGAAAAGACTTAAGTATATCCAAACTGACCACTTCTCACTACCCACACTGCTAATTCCTTTGCTTGGATTGCTGCAGTAGCCTCCTAACCTGCTCCTGCTTATACTCTGTCTTGCTTCCTTGGCAGTCTATCCTCAAAACAGAAGCTGGGGAGATCTCCCTTAAAGACAGACAGTTCAAGTCACTCTTCTACTCCAAGCCTTACACTCTTGCTCAAAGTGAAAGCCAAAGCCTTTTTGATGGCCTTTTTAGGACACATTCCTCAAATATGCTGGGCACTTACATTCCTTCTGCCCAGAACACTCTTCCCCAGACTTCCTCCTAAGTGGCTCCCTAGCTCCTTCCTACAACTGCTCAAACGTCGCCTCCTCAGTAAGGCCACCCCGGCCACCCTAGTGAAAATTCCAGTCCTCCTCCCCACCCCAGCCCCGCCCCCTAATTCTAGTCCAATTTCCTCTTTTTTCCACAGTACTAGCCGTGTAATATACTGTAAAATTCACTTGTTTACTCTCTCTCTCTCCCAACTAGAGCATTAGTTTCATGAGGACAGGGATTTTCATTTGTTTCGCTCACTGGTGTATCCCTAGTGTCTAGAATGGCCCCGGGCACACAAACCTCAATAAAAAAATAGTTGAATGAATGAATGAAATTTGGTTCCTTTCCTGAAAGGACTGAATAATAAGTGAATGAAGCTCAAGTATCCATGTAGCCCACCTGTGGAAAGGAAAGTGCTTTTGATGAGAGCAGGCGCCACTACAACGATTGCACTTAAAAATACCTAGGCGCTTACATTAAGGGATATTCCACGGACATCATTAACTTTTTTTCTCCCAGAAACCAAATCTCTATGAACATTTAACAAGTCTTTTCCTACCTGGCTTGTTTTTCTCAGGAAAACATTTGTCCATCAAACCTGCAATATTTTCTCTATATCTGTTAAAAATTAAAGAATGAGTCATTGTTTGAAACTTCATGCCATGGAAAGTTATTAATATTTAATAATAGGAAATAGCACATTAAGCAGCACTGTGCTACATCCTAAATATGCTTACAGACATTCTTCTAAAATAAACTGAACAAAAGACCAAAGAATCTTACTGTTTAATGAGTACTTTCTTATTTCTACATTAGTATCAGATAAAACTATAGTTCCCGTCAAGAAATTCTGACTAAAAAACATTTGCCTCATCGTGATTTTGCCCCAAATAATTTATTCTAAGTTTTCCTTTACCTAATTTTGGAATCTCTAACATAGTTAGGATCTTTCAAATTATCCTCCCAAGGAAGACGCCCACTGAGCCACTGGATCATGCAGTAACCAAGTATTTCCAAGTCACCACGTCTCGACGGGGCTATGGATGCAAAAGAAGCAGATTACGCATAGTGAAATCATTTTTTAAGTATATATAAAGCAAGAAGGTAACACAGTCGACTTTACAGTCTTGTTTTTCATCATAAAATTTTGACTGCATTTAATAAAAGCACTGAATATTGGGCAGTATATAAAGGAAATAATTTACCTCCAATTAATCATTTAGTTTAAAACCCAAACTGTCAAACTCTCAAGTTTCAAACTGAGACCATCAGTCTAGGAAATAAATTATAAAACAATGACGCATTTAACATTGCCCTTGGAAAACTTAAAGATATTAAACACGCTAAAAGCTATTAAGAGGCCCAGAAAACAGGGGGTTTTAGCTCGTCCGCAGTGTTGGGCACAGAAAAAAGAAACGATTGCTCAGGAAATCGATGACAAAATAAAAGTTTACCTGTTACAAAGTTGTAGCTGCATAAGAAACTTACACACTTTTTGGGGGTAAAAAGCCCCAACATTCTGATTAAGCTAAATAAAACTAAAAAGAAATCCTCATCGCAGCTGACTGAACTACCTTCACAGCTAAGACCTCGGTAATCTTTGAAAGTTGGGAGGAAGATAGTGAGAGAACCCAGGTGGCCCTGTTACAGAACTGTAGGAGTCTAACCTCTCCTTCTTTCTCCAGCCCCTTCAATTCTTTTTTATCTACTTATTTATTTATGCAGAATTAAGAATCGTGTAGGAATTCGGGTGAAAACATTAGCAGTGTATTTCTTATTTCTTATTCAAGTGCCGCTGACGTACCCACACCGTTGTGTGCATCGATGCTGGTGAATTCAATAGTGCCATCGTGACATCTTTTGGGGTCTTCTTTGTACTCTTTGTGAACTCCTTCTGGGCAATACCGATAAGCAAGGCCATAATCTACCAAGTACACCTATAAATGTCCAAGCACCAAGACACATTAAAGCCCAAATGATTGCACATACACTCCTTTAAAGCCCAGAAACAAAATACAGTCATTCTAGGGTGGGTTCATTTACAAGCCCATAACATACTACCCAAACAAGTTAGATCCAATATGCAAACAACAGGAAATACTTAATTCTCAAAGACTTTATTTAAAGAAAAATATTAAACGACCATGTAGCTACAGTCCAGATTCACCTGACTTTATATATTTCTAGACAAGTACGTGTTATAATTAATCTTGTCTCCAACCTGAGCAAGGATTATAAACTTTATACTTTTTCTCACAGTCTAAACCAAAATTAAGCACACAGTAAACCATCAATACTTGTTGCACAACAACCGCCACACACCGAGTATAAGACTGCTAACTTAGTTAACACGTGATACATTAGTTGTCTTCTATTCCTCTGCTTCTTCACTTATAAAATCATCAAAAACGAAATTCACTTTAAAAAAATATTTCAAAGATGATAATAATGATCTGAAGAACTTTTAGATAAGGCTCTTAGCTATATTTAAATATTTTATATCGAAGTCAAATCTTCATAATTAAAACTAAATTTTAATACTATATACAGACACATCTGTGGGCATATACATGTGGGGCTGATCAGCATACACAGCTATTAAATTTGGCTTTTTCTATTCGATAGCCACATATTACACCTCTAATTCTGAGTAACTGTCTTGTAAATGTATGCATTTGGTCACAAGAGAGAACTGAAGCAAAAATACAGGGATGGATCTAGCACACACATCTAGCAACAGAAAAATAATCCCACCCAAAGCATACGCCCGAAGGATAACACAGCTGCAAAAATATTTCCATATAAATAAAAGGCAGCATGTTTTAGTCAACTGTAAACTGAAATAAATTGCATTTTTACTTATTATATTGTACAAGTCCAGTCTACTTCAACTAATGGAATCCTTATCGTTCAGGTTCTTAGCTATGTTTTGTTTGTTGTCTGCTTGTTTTTAACCTAAAAACATCTAAAATGAGATGTCTGGAAATTCTGTGACTGCCTTTAAGATTTCTCGATTAGCATGCTATAGCATAGCATCTTTCTTCTGTCCTACGTATACAGATACCTTACAGCCACCATAACGGAATGGGGAAGGGGAAGCAAACATATGAGATGACAGAAAAAGAAAAGGGAGCCAAAGAAAAAAGGAAAAACTACCCAAGAGGAAGTTAAAGACAGGCTTGAGAAAAAGAAGAATGAAGTACGGACTATCGACAGAAACACACTTAAAATGTTTAAATATTCCTCTCCTACACAAGATCCAGTAAGAAGAGAGAATACACATGGAACGGATTAAGTACCGTGGCCCAATTATGAGTGTCAACTAAACCTTACTTTTACCAAAATCATGGAAACAGCTTCAAGAAAATTGTATAAATCCCTTTACTCCAACTAAACTGACCCAAATAAAGGTGTAACATTAGCTTTTCTCTGTTCCTTAAAAAGTAAAAATTACCGAATGCATGTAATAAACAAAACAAACGCACATTTGGATTCCAAACACTAAGGGTATACAAATTTAGACAGCTAAGATATTTCTGTAAACCAATTGATTTGAATAATCAACATGTTAAAGACCAAATTTTCCAAGTAACAGAACACTTATATTTGACGGATTTCTTGAACAAAGGAAATTAAAAAAACGACACAGCAGACAGGCAAACATAATTCATTGGTGCACTATATAATTTTAAGCTTCCACCCCCAAATAGCTATTTGAAATTCATTTTGTATCACGAGCACGTCTTCTGAATATTATTTAGGGAAAAATAGCCAACTTGATAAAGTGCCAACAAATCACATCAAAAATGTAGAATGTTAACTAGATAAAAGTGTCAAGAAGAAATACTATTACCATATCTACTTCAAAAAGTAAAACTTCTATGGGTTCAAAAGTTCAAAGCAACCATATCTGTTTTCAAACAACAGGTTTTAAATAGTAGAAATTAAAACTATAAAGCTACCTGGTCAGGATTCTTGTGGCTCAGAAGAAGATTTGAGGCCTTGATATCTCCGTGTACATACTCATGTTCGTGAATATATTCCAGAATATCCAGCTATGAAAGCATCATATAGAATAAATTAATGTAGTACCTAACACCAACCAGCAGAGGACCGAGCTTCAACACAATTAGCCTTTACTGGATTAAAAACAAGAATGTAGCTCACATACAATTCTTAAGCTTAGCTGCAAGACAGTTTTCCGAGAAAATCTTTTGGCATTTGCTTCATATATTTTCTGAAGGTCACTCCCAAAGCGATCCATTATCATAAACCTGTAACTAAAGACAAACAAGACAAGTCAATGAACCAAATATAACTCAGGAAAACCTACTTCACAACGAGTACTAAAGAAATTTTTTCAAGGCAGTGTGAACAAAAGAGAAGGAAAGAAAAACATTTGAAACAATTTCTTCCAACTAAAATCTCAAGAGTTGAGAGTCTTTTCCTGTTGTGCCTTTTACCTGGAGGGCCTCCTCCCTGTCTTGGTTAACAGACAACGTCCACAGGGGGAACCCAACAGATTCATTCACAGTAAAGATAAAACAATCTGAGTAAGGCTGATATCACAGAATTTTCATAAAGTTAATTTATGTTTCTGGATATTAGCTTTCTGCCTGTGACTGTTTTTCTCAATTTTTAAGGCACATTTTAGCAGTATTAACATTCTATTAAAATCAAGAGTGTCAAGAGATGATGTTAATAGCTAAATTTAATAAAATTGCTTAAATGGTGTAAAAGGCTTGTATATTAAATACTCAACAGACAAGATTTGGGGAGAGAACAAATATCCTGGAAAAATGTGCAGATTTTTGGTTTTGCCACAAAACAACTATGTCACCTTGGCCAAGTCACATTACTTCTTTGGGCCCCAACTTCCACAGGCATCAAATGAGAGAGTGGGGCTTCGTGCTTTCTAAGCTCTTTTCTAGCACTCAAATTCTAAGATTCAATAACCACTCATATTTCAGTGTGTACTGAAAAGCATCACCTAGCTGCAGTAACATGGTTCATCTTTTGCTCAAACGACCACTTTTATCTTTATAAAGTTTTCCAGATTCTGACTTGTCTGGTTAAATCACTCAAAACCAAGACTATACTCAAAGATAGTTTATCTTCCAATGAGGATAAGATTAATAATCACCATAATAACAAGAGCCACCATTTATTGAAGCCTCGGCATGAGATGCCACTACTCCAGCACTTTAGATGAATTAGTGCATTGACCTCACACCACCCTTACGAGGTAGGAGCTCCTATCACCCCATTCTATGGCAGAAGAAAACTGACGATTTGCAATTTGTCCTCTAGGAAACAGTGGCCATGCTTTTGACCACTGTGTTAAACGTATGGAAATAAACAAACATCTGCAGGGACACAAAAGTCCCACTTATATGTTGTAGGCTTCTAAGATAAAATACAGTATGACAAGCTCAATAGGAAAGGAAGAGCTAACATTAAAAGACAAATGCCAGATGAAAAATTCAGGATTCTATACATTTTTGAACCGGAAGACAATTACAGATCATCGTGTCTAAACATCTTTTAATAAATAAAATAATTAATGTCTACAGAGGTAAAGTGATTTGTCCAAAGTCATACATTTAGTCAGTGGCAAAATGTATTTATTCAGGTAAGATTTTCCAATACCCTGACCTCTAAGATAATAAAGAGGGAACAATTTTTACTTCCTGATTTCCTTTGTACAACAGGTTTTGAAAGGTTGAGGGATGAGACCAAGGACATGTGTACATGTTTGTTTTTACAAATAAGTGATATATGTAATTATTATAAAGTAATATATGGGTAACAAAAATACAACCTCTCCTGACAGTCTGAAAGAGGGCTTAAACACAACTGCTTAATTCAACATGAGATCTATTAACACATCACATTACGCAGATCTTTGTTTTCATTCATAGATCATTCCACCACTTCTCTAAACAATCCCTTAATCACCTCACCATTTCTAAATTATACACATCAACTGAAGCATGATTCTGTACACTACACAGAAATTTTTACCACATTCTTCTACAAGGATATTTCTACCACTGAGTAGTAAAAGAAAAGTTATTTCTAAGTAACTCCTCTAAAGTAAAACCATCGATGGATACTTTCCTGAGGACTAACATTTTTATGATCCTAACTCTGTTCTAAGCACTATATACATATTATTTCAAATGAGCTACAGGGAAAAGTAAGAATTTCTGGCAGGGGAGGAGGGCTGGAAGGAAAATCGTACCTTCTATTTCTTTACTTTTGTAAGAACTAAAATGATTATTTTTAAGAGCTTCAACCTAAAAAGTAAATCAATACCATAGAAGTGATTAAATCTCCCTTTTAGAAGGAGACACTTCTAGCAACTTCATGTTACAGGAGAAACAGGCTGAGAGGTAAGGTCACCACCAGGAAGTGGTGAGTTGAGATGCAACTCAAGTGTGTCTGGTTCCAGACTCCCTGCACTTAGAGCATCCTCTGTCCACGCTGTGGAGCTCTCTCCTGCATCACTCCTGTCAGTTAGCTTAGAGAGTCAACCCCGATCCCCACCATCTCTCCAGGCCCTGAGCACCTCACAGGAGCCACACACACACAAGCCCTGTTTAATTGGCTCTGTGATCTATCACAAAATAGGTGATAAAAGAATGTAGAAGGTAAAAGGTGCTATGACAGTGTTGACAGCTTTAAGAAAAGTCACCAATCTCAAACAAAAAAAATGAACAAAGAAATAAAACCAATAATAATAATAATGCTGACTGCAACTAATATTTGCCGAGCACGTATTATGTGTCAGAAAAATCCCTCTTACGACTGACACGTTTCATTTCATCTTGACAGTAACTCCATAAAGTAAGTGCTATTACCCTCCTCTTACAGGTGAGGAAACACGAGAAAGTGACAGTGACTAGCCCAGGACCACACCCGACAGAGTCAAGTGTAATCTAGCTCAGTGAAGTTTAGGTTTTACTGTGATATACTGTCGCTGTTGTTATTAAAAAAAAGAACAAAAAGAAAAAGAAAAAGAAGAAGTTTATACTGAACTTCTGGAAGGAGGGAAAAAACTTAGTTATTCCAAGTCTCAAGTGCTCTAGTCCCAACCACACTTCTCCTCCAACTGTTTCTCCACAATGTGGTTTTGATAATGCATGGTTTCTTAGGAACACAACCACTGTATACGGGAGTACAATCGAACTGCATCTGCTTTCTAGCAAATCATCTGTACAGGTTTTTCCTGCCCAAGTCCCTCCCAGACAGACCCCAATTCACCACGTAAACCATGTAAACCCTTCTCAAATGCCATTTTCACCATCGTGTCACTGTCCCTTGTTCAGAACGGGCAATAGCTTCTGACGACCTACTACACGTTGGTTCCAAACTGCTCTTTCCTCTCCGGTCTTCATTATCTGCCTCACTCTCTCTCTCCAAGTTTACTTCCCTCTCTCTCACACGCACGCCCTCTTCTTTTGTTAAAGAAAGATGGCCAAGAGGCCACACAGCAGGCCAGATCCCATCCTGCCCGTGTTCATGTGACTCTCCCACTTGAGACGCTAACCCTCCTCGTCAATGGTTTTCTAAACCAGTAGTTCTTAACATTTAAGGGATTAAAAACCCCTTTGAGAGTAAAAGATAACACTTACATGTATTTTACATATATTCTAACTGCTTTATGTTTAATCCCTTTTGTTAAGTGGCTAGCTGTTACTCTATTTCACAGACAGGGAAACTGAGGCAAAAAGAAGTAACTTACCCAGTCACACACATTTTAAGGGGCAAAGCACAGATTTGAAACCAAGCAGTCTGGCTCTAGAATCCTTGTTCTTAACTTAATTAATTCTTGCTCTATACCATTTCTCCAGAAAATTTCATAACAACTATAGAAACTTGTCCCGGCAAAACCATATGTAACTAAACGTTCTATATCATTTCAGGGAGTTCCCACATTCCTAAGAGATGCATGGATTCCAGGAAAAGAACTTCCAAGTTGTTTGGTTCCCCACCCAACAGCTACCTCTCCTCTCCACCTTTTCTAACAGAGCACCAATGCAGCGCAGGCATTCCACCCTCTTCCACATGGCCATGTGCTTCACCACGCCCATCAACATGATCACTGCACCTTTGCCAGTGACTGGTGTAAGCAAGAGCACTGGTAAAATTCTGACCAAGAACACACGAGACAAGTCTGCCACGAGACTCCTGGGAAAGGTTTCCTTGCCAGGAAAGTGAAACTCACAAGAAGCAATACCATTTCCTGCTGTTGGGTACCTAGAAACGGGGCAGCCACCTTGAGACCATACAACAGAGAATTAACAGAGAACAAAGACAAGATGAGGAGGGCAGATGGGCAAGATAAAGGAGCCTGAGCCCTTGATGATTACTCAAGAGAGCTGAGTCAAAGTTCTCCTTTACCTGCAGCTGAAAGCATCTCAACCAATACACCCCCAGTTCCAAACTAAATCTACTCTTCAAATCTCAGCTACCAGCCTCACTCCATGAAGTTCCACTCATGCATTCAAATATTTTAAAGTGTTAATTACGCATCAAATTATTGGAGGTTTTCTCCAACTCAACTACGCCAACAATGTTCTCTCCATCCTCTGAACTCCTAGGACATATAAGCGTTTGAATCACACAATTTAGCACTTAACTATTCTCTAATTGTTTGATACATGTTTGTTCTTTCTCACCAGCTAGACTGAAATCTCATAATGAGCAGGACTCTACGGTGGGCAGATTATATATCTAACAGGAAATACCAAAATGAAACCTGAGGGGCTCCCTTTTACATAAATGACATGGAGTTGTTTGCTTGTTTATTTTTAACCACAAAAAGAAACTGCACGGCTCCTTTGGCTTTGTTCCCACTTGTCAGCCGGGTTCCAGTCAGTTGCTACTGCTCTATCCAAGTCCTCCAGACTAGAGACAACATCTGTTCACCTCTGTCAAATATGCCCCACACAGCCCAGATGCAGGCCTAGCAGTATTGTAGGTGCTCAGTAAATAATTCTTGACTAAAAAACTCAACAGTGAAGGCTCAAAAAGAGATAAGAAAAACAAAACATGCATTATTTTTTACCTTTTTCCATTTTTATCATGTAGACCAGACCCCCAATACTTAGGAACACCCAGGTACTTCAGTTTATGGGTACGAATCCATTTCTGAACTACAAGTTAAAACACACATTTGTGATTCCAATTTTGTTACACATAAATAATTTTTTTAAAAAAATCATTAAGAGCAGAATGTACTTATACATGCAATAAGATTTCACCCTTATTCATAAAAAAGGAAGTGAATAGTACATTATAACCAATAAATGAAAAGTACTTTACAATCAAAACATTTTTATTAACCCACAAAATTTTGTTATTCTGCCCTAAACATTGTCTTTTAAATGAAAAACCTGCAAAAGATATTTTTAAAAAAAACAAATCACAGTACTGCAGCTACAATTAATATCTCTAATTATGTAAATGTTTACTTGCTTTCACAGCAAGACTTATCTTTTACCCTAATCCAAAAGTTTTTTACCGTATTCTAAAAGTCCTCAACCAGGAAATTAAGATCTAGAAGAGATGGAAGACTTCCTTGAGAAATTGTCAAGCCTGATACCATCCTACCAGGAGACTCCTTCGATTCTTAGAGTGCAGAGGAGGAGAAGGGAGGGGAGCAGAGGGCAAAAAGGACCATGGTAGCCAGAAGAGGTCCTGCTCTCTTCCTTGATAGTCATACATCAGTTATGGTATGCCCCCCAGATTATGTTCTCCAGAGTTTAGAAAAATACTCAACAAGATTTGGAGATCCTTGAACCAAACCCATGGATTAGGGTTAATTCTCAATTTTTAACAGTATTTCCTAAATCACGTATCATTTATTAACTTTATTCTGTATGTCAATATAGGTGAAATTTTATCATAACAAACCCATTAAGAGATCAGAATTCTTTCATATAAATCTCATTTAAATGGAATTTATTTATAAAGTAAAAAATAATAAAGCATCATAATATAAGATCCAATGCTCTAGTCTTGGCTTAAACAAAATAAAACAAACAGTGGTCATTTTAAAAGTATAAACACATGTGTACCGTATTTCTTACTTTGCTCTGGTTTGGCAGCTCGCTGGTAGAACTTCAATTCAGTAAAAAGAGGTCCATTGTCACTGGGTTCCTTAAAACATAAGCGTTAATTAGTACTAGCAGCAGTTAAAATTACTGAGTTATTTTCAATGAACCTTCAAAAAAGATTAACAAATCAATTTCTCTTTCCAAACAATGCAATTTCGTTACTTAAGTTTATAACTATGTTTAAGATTAAGTCAAACTCTTTAGAAATGTTTTAAATATGCTCAGAATAGTCTGTAAATGTTATATTTCTCTCAAGTTCCATTTCTATAAGTGATAAGCTATAGAAAATCAGACATACAGCTCAGTGTTTGCAGAAGTTTAAGAAAAATCTTTAAACTTATTTTCATTTTCATTAAGCTTTCTCTTAAGCATAGATCAGCAACGATGTTAACTGTTTCACCAAATGGCTACAGCTATTTCTGCGATTTAATAAAATTTCTATACCTGATTTAACCAATTAGTGGCAAAATCCCCTTCCTTTCCTGTTTTCCATTATGGTTGTATCTAGTTTATCGGGACTGGCAGAAACCAACCTTACCACAAACAAGAATATTCTGGAACTCCAGCGTGAGCAAGCATTGTCCATTTAACTGCATCCTTTCCCTTCTGACACTGATTCCCATGTTTTTCAAACTAAGGAGCCCTACAATTTACTTTCCCACATTATAATTTAAAGTCAAGAGGAAAATGGGGCTCCATAACAGTTGTTTTCCACCAACTTTACTGGCTTCGTTTCACATTTTAAGGGATATTAATAGTTAAAATTATGTGTCAAGAGGCATATATTCACAAAAAGGTCTCTGACAAACAAGAAATATCAGCCAGTTTGGGGTTTTAACTTGTTAAATAAATATGGAAGGGTGGGAAGGATCTTATAATTTTGTGGACTTTTTAAATAGTAAATTTTTTCTGACTAAAATTGGTTAGTATTTATCTAATGTTTGTGTTGGTATTATCGTGTTTATTAAGAACCCGAGAAAAATTGTGAAAAGCAGTGAAAACTTCAAATGAGGAAGCTAACATTTCCAAACAAATTTTAGGGTTGCTTTTCTTTTATGAAGTACAGAAAGAAAGTTATCTCGGACAGAATATCTGTGTAGCTGGAGTTCAAGGGTCAGTAGAGCATTAGGAGAAGTGATAAATGAGGCCCACTACCTTCACTGATAGAAAATCTGTGAAAATATGTAGTTTTCAGCTACTGGAGATGCCTTTTGCAAATACTTAAAATGTGTTCATTTTTTTTTCATTCAAGATAAGCTCCCTGTCATATAAGTTAATTTTGCTCCTTGAAGTTTAAATAAAGCCACTCTATACACACAGTTCTAATATCTCACATTTCTTGTAACGCAGAAAACAGACATCCCCAGTTAAAGTACTTACAGGAAGACTAACTAGCCAACCTACAAAGAGTCAGGCAGTACCTAGTGAAGAACGAGCATTCAACATCAAATGGGCAACATATACAACACTTGGATCAGAACCTGAACATAAGCTTGACTTATTTGTTACATGTAAGTCTAGTTTTCAGCCCAGCCTTGGAAGAGAATGGTACACAAGGACTTGGCATGTCATCACCTCTTAAGAAGCAAAAACTAACCAACATACTAAAGTGTAAGCGCCGCAACCCTAATTTGTGGACTCACTGTCTCAAGTTTCGTCGTAACCTGTGGCTCCTGTCCTAGCAGCAATGGTAGCAAGACAGACACTTGTGAATGTTTAGAGCTCGTGGATGAGAACAGGCTTTCTGCAGGAGTAACAGACTCAGTGCAAGAAATGAAGAAAGAAATGGAAATTCAAGAGAAGCAACTATGGTAAAGTTACTCTCCAAAGGCTAACTTACAGAATAGCTCATTAATGTAATTCAGGTTTGAAAGAGGTTTTCCTAAGACAAATTCTGGCTTATTACCATCAGTATAAAATTCTGATTTATTCAGTTTCAACCTATGTCATATCAACTTTAATTTTCAAGCTTTCCTTCAGGCAATAATTTATTAAACTTATAATAATGAGAATCAACCTATATAAATCAGACTACTATAATGAAAGCCCCACTACAATGAAGGCTCTTTGAGCTCATTTCATATTTTTTCTAATCCAATAAGATTCCATTATAACAAAATAAAGGAGCTACTTCCTTGTTCCTTGGCATTGCACTCTAGCCAAAGCTAGCTATTTCTGTTGAAGAAAATACCTTAACTCATAACTAAAATTTTATTAACATATTTCAAATCTAAAATACTTTGCCAACTCTATAATAGCCAAGATTTAGAAAAGAAATTGGGACTGACATTTTAACTAGAATATCACTAAACGTTTCTTTAAGACTTCTAAGTGTCAAAATGAAGATGACAACAGAAAAAAAATTAAAATGTGATATATTTCAATGGCACCATCTAAAAGCAACTGGCTGCCATTTAAAAATGAAGCTGTATAAAGTCTCTCCTTCTTACCAAAAAATTATGATATATGAATTGAAAATTCAGGTCACTTCTCATAACATCAGTGAGAGAAATTAAACATCAGTCTGCAAACTTCTTTCCAGGGAACTTCGAAATACAGATTTATATCAGTTCATACTGGAACTGTTAGGATACAAGATCCAAAAGCCTGACCTCCACCTCTAGTTCTGCTAATAGTTCACTGACATGACTGCAAAGGGTGAGTGTCACTGAAGGAACTAATTCACTGTAAATTCTGTTAACAAGAAAACACAAAAGAGAATTCTTTCTCCTTGCATTATCCAACTTATTATTATCAATTTACCATTTCTCTCTGCAATTTACTTTCCTGACATAAAATATAGTGTCTCTCAGCTATCTAGAGGCAGACAATACAAGTTTACCATCTCTGGTGACCCAGCACCATGACTCCAAGACTGGTCCCATAAGTCAATAAGGATTAAGGCCCTAAACAAAACCAGACACAGTCATTTGGTTAGGAGAGAGAATATATTTAGCATGTACCTAAACATCTCTCTTGAAAATATTTATCTTAACTTTATTTCAAGGCCAAATGTAAGAAATCTGTGGGTTAACTATTTGGAGCTCTTTCATTGAGCAGATATGCATATTAGCAGCAACCACATTTTCTGCCAAATCTTCCACATTAAGGTGGAAGCCTACCAGAAGCACAGGGTACCTGCATGCCTTTACTGAATAAAAGGGTCCCCAAACAGACAGACATGAGCACGCACACGACGCCACTGAAAATAATTAAGGCGCTCTGTGCGCCAGATTCTACCAGCGGTTCTCAACCGTGATACACTAAAGAATCCACTGGGGAGCTTTACTAACAGTACCAACGCCCAGGCCCTGCACCCAGAGGTTCTGACAACTGGGGCTAAGAACCACTGTTTGAGCTGACATGCTATTACATTAATTATTACTTTATTAAGCATAACTTCACACTAAAAATCAATTTGCCTTTGATAATTTCTTAAATAACATTTGCTGAGCTTTCTCCTCTAAAAATAAAATATGTGCTCATTTTAGAAAATTTGGAAATATTCTGATATATTTTCTTCACATATATAGCTATTTTATAAAATTATCTCCATACTATACATAGTTTTCTATCCTGCTTTTTTTAAGTAATGAATTATGAAATTTCCCCAGCATAGTACTTGTTCTTTGAAAACATGATTTTTAATAGCCCCTAATGTTTTAAATGGCAAATGTTCATAAATAGTTCTGATTTTAATACTGGAAAGACCTGATACTCATTTTATATATGTTTGTATCTGATAAATCCTTTCAACTTTTAGTATTATAAAGCTCTGAGAATAAAAGATGCAGAGAAGTAACGGACAGAGCTATGGTATACCATACCACAAGTGAAGGCAAATTATGAATGAGCCTCCTCTGAAAGGCATAGACAAGAGATGCAAGTGCGTGGCATCGAGAAATTAAAACATGGTGGGGAATTATGGCTTAAAAAGGTTCCAAAAGAATAAAATAGGCATTTAAGGGTGGCATAAAGAAAATGAAGCTTAAAATAAAGGTTCTTATCATCAAATAACTTAAAACCCAGTTAGGCAGATAAACACATAAAAAACTAAAAATAACTACCAGCATGAGAAGGATATTAGCATGTGAAATTGTAAAATAAATGGCGATAGAATGAGTGCTACAGGAGTTTAAAGGAGTTCGGAAAAGACAGGTATCAGGGAAGAAACAAGCAAACGGCAGTTACTAAATGCTCTCTCAGAGAGGAAAGAGAAAGCCAATAACACTGTTTTGTTTATGGCATTCTTCCAAGATCACAGACAAACTATGACATTGAAAATGTTACTGAAATATTAAATGCAAGAGAGAAATCAACTGAATATTTATCACTGTCCTAATTACAAAGAGAAGGAGTAATATAGGCTAATGGAAACAGAACTAAATTAGGAGACGGGAGAGGCAGAGTACTGAACCAGGCTTATTAACAAACAACTTTAAACTTAAAAATATAAAGTAATTTGCTACCTTAAGCAGTTAGGAAATACTTGTTTCTACCCATTTTTTTTCATAACTCTGTAAGTAAAAAAGGTAGTAAAAGTTACATTGAATAACCTAATTCTAAACATCATAATTCTAAAGAAGAGTATCATAATTCTAAAATAAAACACAATTTAAAGAAGCGCAGGTTACACAGAAGAATAAAGACGTGGTTATACACCAGTCCCACCAATAAGACATGGCACTGGCACACTTTCCTTTGAAGACATGGAAATGACTGTGCAGATTAACCAACTGCAAAGCAGTCTGAGGTAACCATACTTTTTGAACCTTAAGATTATGAGAAGTCATAAGGGGACTTGCTTTCTCCTCACAATGGAAATTTTTGAAAGATCCTAAGAAGAAACTAATTTTACCCATAGATTTTAATATTTTAATTTGTCACATCAAAGACAAATGCAGATAATATTCTGCAATTCCATACAAATGACCCAATTTAATAGTAAGAACTTTCACTCCTCTGATATAGCAGCAAACTGAGTATTTCAAAAGGAATGTTATTTCACAAACGAAAAAGAAGAAAATTCCAAAATGAAGGGGCATGAAGAAAAGTGAAATGGCAGAGGAAACAAACCAATGACACATGCTTTAAAGTTATCAACTTTACTTCCACTTACAGGCATGACAGAATAACTGGGACCCAAGAAGCCCTCTCACTGTAAACAAATACAAAAATTTGCCAAATATAGGAAATTACCATTTTTAGACATTAGACAAACTAGGCAGTACAGGTCTGTGACCTCAAAAGGATAGGAAACAAAGTGAGCCCCATGACAGCCCCAGCTGTCGTCACAGAGGCACCAGGAGTAAAAAGGAGGAGAGTTAGGATCCTACAGGGCAGAAACGGGGAGACCAAACACAGCACAGCAACAACTCTGACACCAAAACTAAACAACGAGATTAGAAATTTTTTAAATTTAGAAATATTAGAAAAAAATTAAAGACCAATATCCCTCATGAACAGACATAAAAATCCTTAACAAAATACTAGTAAATCAATTCCAGCATTATGTAAAAAGCATAATATACCATAACTCAGTGGAGTGTATATTAAGAATACAAAGTTAGCTCAACACTCAAATATCAGTCAATATAACTGCCACACTAACAGAATAACGGAGAAAAATCCTATGATCCATCTCAATAGATGCAGAAAAAGCATTCAGAAAAGAAACAGGCAAACTACAAACTGGGAGAAAATATTTACAACACATACATCTGAAAAAGGACTTGTATCCAGAGCAACTCTCTCACTACTCAATTATAAAAAGCAAAACAACCTTGTTATTAAAAAAGGGGAAGGGGAGGGGAGCAAAAGATTGAGGAGGCACTCCACAAAGAAAGATATGAATGGCCAATAAGCACAGTGAAAAAGTGCTCAAAATCAGTCATCAAGTAAATATAAACTAAAACTAAGAGACACTACTACACTCCCAATAGCACGGCTACAAAACAAACAGCCCGACTACACCAAATACCCAAGAGGATGTGGAGCAACCAGGACTCGCATACTTTACTGGTGGGTGTGTAAAACGGTACGACCACTTTGGAAATCTGTCTGGTACTTTCTTATAAATTTAAATATACCTCTTCTCTGTAGACCAGCAATTCTACTTCTAGCTATTTATTCAGGGGAAATAAAAACCTATATCCCCGAAAACACTTGTATAAGAATGTTTACAGAAGTTTTATTCATAATAGCCAAAACTGGAAACAATCCAAATGTCTATCAACAGGAAATGGAAAACAAATTATAATATATTATACAATATACTACTACTGAGCAAGAAGACTGAATGAGCAATTGATACACCAACGATATGGATGAACCTTTAAAACACTGAGCATAAAAGTCAGAGACAAAACAGTAGATGCTGTATAACATGATTTATATGTCGTTCTAGAACAGGAATAACTAATCCACAGCAAAAAAAAACAGACAAGTGGTTGCCTCCAAGGCTGTGGGAAGCAGAGATTTGACCGGAAAAGGACACAAGGAATCTTTCTGGGTTCTATATTTGAATAGGGGTGGGGTGTACAATGCTTTGTCAAAAGTCTTCAAATTATTTAATATCTTTGTATTTCCCTGTGAAAACTATGCCTGAATTAAAAAATGTTAAAAATAATCACTAAAACAATTCAGGTCCAAAAATGTTAACTCATAAGGCATCAAATATATTCCTTTTTGAAAAGAGGATAAAATAAAATAAACCCAAACAAAAAACCTTGGGGTAATTCTAATTCTAGAGTTCGGTAGCCTTTAGAAAAAAAAGGAAGGGTGGGGGACTTACCTGGTAATTTGCCAAAATAACAGACCCTGATACCTCTTCTATTGAACAGAAACATGTTCTTCACAAATATTAAGGAACTTTGAGAGAGGGGAATTACAAATGTTGGTGAGCAAAATGATGCACAATATATTGATGATAAAAAAATAGTAGTTAAAATGTCTTTTCGTGCACCAATATATAAACTGGCTGTTAAAAGTATGCTTATGTCAGATGGGATGTTGTCAACCTTCACCCATTACAAAGGAATTTCAACGTTAGTATAGCAAAAAGAGGTTCAAAGTGATCACAACTAAATAGACAATGTAACTTACTAAAATGGAAGGGGAAGGGAAATTAGAAATAAATAAAAAGAAAAAATTGACCAAGTGGAAGTTGAAAAGCAAATGCAAGAGAAAATACAATAAAATTTCATTAAAGTAGTCTAATCTTGTGGGCTATAAATATGAAAGGCATCTCATCCACTGTAAGTACAGCTGAACTGGATGTCTGTGCGCACGTCTACACACCCCCACGCTTTCATTCATTTCCCAGGACCAGTGCCCCTGCGCTCAAGAGAGGAGTGGGACTTTTTGAACTCAAGCTACTTAAAACTATAAAGCTACTTTTGTGTCTCATTAAATATGTATGAAACATTATTAAAAATGTAATACCTTATGGTTTAATTAGTTCTAGTTATCAAAAAGGGTGTTTCACAAAATAAATACACTAAATCAACAGATAAGAAAAAATCAGCTGAAATATTTTCTTACCACTTTTACAACACAGGGTGCATCGCTGCCCACCGATTTTGAAGAATTCATATCAGCTGTTTGAAAAAGTGACACATGTGATATCAGAACAAGAAGTAGCATTATTATAAATAGCCTGTTACTAACCCTTTATTAATATTTAGATCTGTATATCTATAACCCCTTGATAGAATAAATTTCAGTTCCCAAATATGTATTTCAGGATATCATTACAGTATATTTCATAATTTTAAGACTTTTTTTATGTTTTAATATGTTTGAAATTGGAATGCATCTTACAATTGCTGGTATCTTCAATAGGATCATCAATTAAGTATGGAAAATTCTGAGTTAAGATTTAATTCAAAAGTACGCATGGCCTTTGATATGCTAATATATGTTGTGCATACCCAAGAGGATGATAACTGATGCAATTTCTTTAATTTAACAAACTAGGGAATCTTTTTAAGAAGGAGTATCAGGAAGGTAAGAAAAGAGAGAGCTAAAGTTCCAAAAAGCACTAGTTTTGGGGGGAAAAAACTCATCTAGATCAGGGTGTTCAGGATGTTGGCACTAGAACTTTGGACTGCCATTCAGAATAATTTTAATGTGGCTGTCATTTTATTTCATGCAAATAAAGAAACACACTTGCCCTGGAATACTGAGTCGGGAATATACAGCTGCCCATATACTAAACAAAAATTTTTACCAAGTACCTACTATATGCCAGTTTCTAAGAAACAGATTTAGCAGTGAACAAGAAAGAATAATCCCCACAGTTACGAAGCTGACCTTTCAGTGGTAGGACACAGGCAACAATTAAAATATGAAGGATGTTTGACGGTGACAACTGCTATAGAGGGAAAATTAAGCAGGAAAGGAAGGGAGGCAGTGCTGCGAGGTAGTAAGAGAAAACTCCCAGAACAGGTGTCACTGGAGCAGTGGTCTGCAGGCCCTGAGGCAATAAGCTTTGCAAGTATCTGGGGGAAGAACATTCCAGGCCGACCAGCACAAAGGCCCTGCTGTGGAAGCCTCTGACATGTTTGAGGAAGGCAAGGCAGCTCAAGCAGCTGGAGAAGAAGAAGTGAAGTGAAGGTAACAGGGGGCAGATCAGAAAAGCAACAGAGAACAAATACAATAAGCTTGATGGGTGACATAAAGCTGGTGCTATGAATGAGATGGAGAGCCACTGGAAGTTCTGAGATGAGGAACAGCAAGACCAGACACTGATTTTTAAAGAATTCTTCAGGCTGCTTTGTGAAGAATGGAGCATAGAGGGCAAGGGCAAAAGCCAGGAGCTCAGTCAGGATATTACATTGCTCTAGGTGAGAGAGGTGGGGGCCTGAACCAGAGTGGAGCACACAGGGCAGTGGTGGGTGGTCAGACTGTGAACATATTTTCCGAGAAGAGCCAACAGGATTTGTTGATGAATTGGATACAGAGGGTAAGAGAGTAAAAAGGAGGTAAGGATGACTCCAGAGTTTTGGCCTGAGCAGCTAGGAAGAGGAAGTTGCTACTTATTAAGATGGAGAAAACTGCGGAAGAAGCTGATGCTTTGGGGTGTCTTAAGTTTGAGATGCTTATTAAACACCCAAGTTCAAATGATACACAGGCAGTTGAGATACAAGTCTTGAGTTCAGAAGAGTGTTCCAAGTTGGAGAAATAATTTGAATTATCAACAAAGAAACACTGCTCACTTAAAGCCATGAAACTGGAAGAGACCTGCTGGGTAATGAGTGTAGACAGAGAAAAGAAGACACCCTAGGACTGAGCCCTAAGGCATTCTCACATTAGAAGACGAAGAGATGAGGAGGAACAGGCAAACGAAACCAAGAAACTACCAGTCAGCTAGGAAGCAGCAGTACTTTGAAAGGGCTGCAACTAAAATACTTCAGACTAAAGGAACACCAAGTCACAAAACTGGCTAAAATGGGCAAATGAAAAGGTCTGAGCTCCTTAAGGAAGAGCCCCAAGGAACGGCTCTTAGATACTCAATTAGTAATAAAGCAAGGTCAGATTTTTAAAAATAAGCATTTAGTGTACAAAACATCACAATGAGGATAGTATCCCAATAATACTGCATAATTTAAATAAGAAAAGGGGGGAAAAGGAAGCTCAATAAGTAACTCAAACAATATGTACTGCAAAATCTGCCAGGCACTAGGAATATAAGAAAAAGAAGAGCTGTCCCATTGCCAAGAAGCACTTGTATATTCTGGGAGAAAGAAAAGTAATCTCAATACAGCTTGGAACATATTATGACAGGGTTAACGCAAGAGGACTATAAATAGACAGGACCCGCCCTAAACTCAGCGGTGGAAAAAGAAGCAAAAGAAGCATCACATACAGAGATCAAGAGGCAAAGGGCGGCGTGACGGCCGAAGCACAGATTTTGAGGAAATAAAGGGATGCAGGTAAAAAGTTACACAGGGACCAGACTATGAAGGGTCTTGTATAGCATTCTCAAAAGTTTGGCACTTTATCCTAAGGGCAATGGGGAGCCATTCAAGAAGTTTAAATAGCCTAGGTCACTCAAGTCATAACGTAAACAATGGGATGAAGGGGCAAGACTGAGCAGAGATTCACGCTAGAGTGAGAATCCAGGCAAGCAAAGATGGAGAGAAATGAATGGATCTTAGAAATCACACAGCTAAAGCAAAAGGACTGGATGAAGTACTAGGGATATTAGTGAAGGAATACTGGAGAATGCCTTCCCAGGGTCTGCCTCGAGGGGTGTCCTTCATTCAGATACCCTCGCCTGATCACGAGAGAATCAGGAGATGGAAGAGGATGATACAAGCTTTAGACACACCTGTGGAACATCCAAGTAGAGACCCCTTGTAGGCCACTGGCTATGGGCCTAGACTCAGGTAATCAAGTCCAAGGCTACAGATAAAAGCTATGGAAATCAACAGTCAAGAGACAGTAACAGAAGTCATAAGACTCCATGAGATCAATCAGAGTGAATATAGAGAATGAAAAGTGAGCCAGGAAGGAAGGCTGGAGAACACATTAGTACCCACCAAGATGACCAAGCACATCCAGAGAGGTAGGAGAAAACCAGAAGTGAAGTATGTTATCACGAAAGACAATGGAAGCAATTTTTATGAGAAGAAAAGATAAACAGTATCAAATGCTCAGAAAACATCCAAAAAAAATTCAAAAGCAATCTTTTTAATTCATTAGCAGAAATTGCTGATAATCGTGAATATGGCTGTTTTGCTCTATCAGTAGGCAGAGACAGATAAACTGGAGGCAGCAATATTAAAGCAAATCCGTCCTCCAGACTGATCAATCCAGTTTTACAGAAGCAAAGTTTTATTACAGAAATCTGTCAAACCCCATTGGATACTAAAAATACTTACTATTAGATGGCACTTTCTGATAATAAATACAAATACAAATAAAACAGCTGGCACACACCCAAAGCAAGCTGCAAATTTGCCAAAGGTTACAAAAACAAATTAACTAATGCAAAATGAAGAACCTACTTGCTTAAAGAGAAGTTCCCATTCCTAATATGGGATGTCAAAAGTCCACACATTCTGCAGTAGAGGCAGCTTATATAATACACCACTCTAAATCACAAGGTCAAAAAATATGTACCTAGCTAATATAGCTACTAACCTCTCACGGTTTATGAAGATTTTCACCTTAAGTCAGAGATACCCTAGTTCACTAGAATGGGTTTGGCTCTGAACAAAACTAAAGAATCAACACCTGTTTCCCAAAGCCAGGTGCTACTGCCCTAGAAAAATCATATTTATAATATATAGTAAAGCACTGGTTTTTAAGCTATGTTTCATGAACATATCTCCAGAGGCTGCAACTAACCAACCAGAGCCCACTGGTCGTGTAGGAGGTGGAGCTGAAGCCTCTGAGTAAAATAGCTGCTCTCTTATCTGCGTCAGTGGCTCTCTAACTGCAGCATGCATCCGCATCACTGGAGGACTGGTTCAATCGCATTGCTGAGCCCTCCCTACAGTTTCTGATTCGTAGGTCTGGGGTGAGACCCGAGAATCTGCAGTTCTAACAAGTATCATGTGGTGCTAATCTAGTATCTAATATTAGAATTCTGAGAGATATGTTGCTTAAGAGAAAAAAAAGGTTCCACTACTAAAAATAAAATTTTATAAACCTCATGGCAGAAATTAAATAAACTAAATTAAATCAAGATTAGAGGTGGAGTAAGCACACATAATAGAGCTAGAAATACCAAAAGCAAACATGAGATGCACTGTGTCGCTACTAAAATTCTTGGAGAAGCAGGCAGCTTTAGAAGCAATCAGGTAACACATCTTTTAAATCAACAATTCAGTTAACCTATAGAATCTCAGGGTTCTACAACAGGTCTCCCAAAATTTATGGGTAAGTATGCTAATTAATAGCACATTTAATCAGGCCTCATAGGTCGTTCCCTTAATTCCACTATGATAACTATAAGGGTTGTAGAGAAAGAAAATAAATCCACACTTGTTAAAGATCTGAAAATCTCCATATTAAACCAAAATAGAGGAAATAAATCCTAACTCGGTGGAGATGGGGAAAGAAAGATGTACATGGCTTTCTTTCGGTCTCAAAAGAGATTAAGATTATACAGAATATCTTAAAACTCTAAAGCCACAGTGCTCACTAGTGACAATATTACAGATATCTTATCCTCTTTTCCTATTGTGATTAAATTAGCCATCTTCTTTTCCACTCCCATGTCAGAGATGCATTTTTGCCTCATCATACAACATTTAGTTGACTGTAGATTATTAGGAACATCCTGTAAAAGCTCCTAACTGAGAAACTATTTTGATAAGAAAGCATATAAATCTTTGGACTGACAATCAGAAGTAGTCATACACTTACCGAGATATATACAACCAAAGCCACCTTGGCCAATGGGTAATCCTAGTTTCCATTCCTTTTTTGTCATGTCAGTGATTATCTCCCCAGCTGCAAACTGTTCTGCAAGACGTCTCTTTGCAGGGCCCTGTCTTACAGCTTGAGCTGCTTTTACACGAGGCATTTTCACTACAAAACAAAGCAACACACAGAATTATAATCCTAGAAGTGTTGAAAACATTTTTCACTACGAAAAGCTTCTGTGCAACAAAAATGCTGTTCAAATTCCTACTTACTCCAAAACTTAAATAAAGGACATCTGTTAATTCTGATTTATAATTGCTCAAACCCTATTTATCCCTTAACTTTCGAGAGGAAACAATAAATAAAATGATCTATGTAATTATTTAAGAAAATATTTAGCTTTAAGTTCCACTGGTATAATATCATTTCTGACTAAAAATGCTATTTAGCAACAATAACAAAAAAAAATTGCTCTATGAAGTACAGGGGAAAAGGTACACCCAATTAGAACACACTTTATAGTAATGCAATGAGGAGTTTATAAAGGCCAATGCTGATGTGCTAAGAACCTAATATAGAGACTGAAAACACAAGAAATTAACTCAAGGAGAAGGGGAAAGTCTATTTACGGCATGATAGTAGATGCATTACACACAGGCTCCCATCCATCCTCACAACTCTATGAAGATCACAGTATCATGCCCATTTTATAGATGAGGGAATTAAGGCTCAGCAAAGTTAAGCAACCTGTTCAAGGTTTTATACTAGTAAGTGGTGGAATGACAGAAATCTGCCCTGAGGACTACCTGGTTCCAAAGCATCCCCAACATGCCCCACAATTACAAAAGTCACCATAATGAAGGAGTAGACTTTCAAGAGAGTAACAAGGAGAAACTGTGGCTGCTTAGTCATTTGGGTTCACAGAAAAGCCAAAGCTGGTGATACCCAGCATTCCTATGCTTCCCTTCTCAATAGTATTTCTGAAATACCATTTCCTGTTAAAAGAAACCAGGTTCCTTAAAGAAATGACTGATTCCAGGTCTGGAGCTGAAAATCTACAAGAACAACTTGGAACATCTTGTCATTTCTAGATGTCAAGGAATCTATCAAAAACTACTAGAGTTATGTCAAATATGTCTAAGGAGCCAGCTTGGAAGATGTTCCCACTGACCAAAGATGAGCCAATTTGAGTCAATAAAGATAATAACCACAATGGATTAAAACACCAAAAATGGATAAATCCAAGAGTTTATAACAGTAAGAAAACCTAAGTGGTCACCTCTAGAGGATAACAGGAAACCACTCAATTTTGAAAACTAGTAAATAAAGAGACAGAATCAAGTGTTTATCCTTTCTTTCTTATATGAATTGTATCACTGGGTAACCATACAGAAGATGAAGAGAAATTTCTCCTTATAGAAAAATTTCAGCTAATAAATAAATAAGCGTGGTTTTAGGTTAACACCATTTCCACCTCCTAACGAGTTAATAGATCCAGACATTGAGCACTGATAGCTACTAACATCAAAATGTGAGAGATATCTAGACATTATGTGCCTCCTAATAAAAGAACACACCACTACCCATGAAGTAATCTTGCCAAAAAAGAAAGAAAGAAAAAATAAACAGACCCTGAATCTGATCAAGCCTACCAATTCACAGAATATGAAGAGAACAGAACATGATAAACTATAGCACAGGAGTGCAATCAGCAAAATCCTAACTGTGGGAAACCCTACAGTACATATAATCCCATTTCTTCAACAAATAAAGGGAAAAAAGAAGAGATGTGGGAGAAGAAAACTAGATTTAAAAAGACTTAAAACAGGCCGGCCAGGCGGCATAGCGGTTAAGTTCGAGCGCTCTACTTTGGCAGCCCGGGGTTCGCAAGTTTGGATCCCGGGCATGCACTGATGCACCGCTTCTCAAGCCATGCTGTGGCGGCGTGCCATATAAAGTAGAAGAAGATGGGCATGGGCGTTACCCCGGGGCCAATCTTCCTCACAAAAAAAAAAGAGAGAGAGAGAAGGAAAAACAACATACCTGAAACAAAACAAAATCAGGCAAATATAAACTATAATGCTTAGGGATGCACATTTGAGTGATAAAACTACAAAGAAAAGGAAATGATTACCATAAAAGATAGAAGTTACTTTGAGGAAGCGTAAGAAAGTTGTGATTAGGATGGGGCACATGGTGGGCAAAGTTCTATTTCTTAACGTTAAGTGGTGGTTATAAAAGTACCTTATAATTCATTAAGTCTATATTTGCTTGATAAGGTTTTCTGTATTATAAAATATTTTATGGTTTTAAACATTAAAAAATTACTGTTCCTATAATTAACAATCACCAAGGGATTAAAACTGGAAATCTTTTCATACTGCATGAGCTTGTCCAATCATACACCCACCAAAAAAAAAAAAAAAAGAAAAAGGAAAAAGAAAAGACTCCTAAGTAAAATCTGTACTTCATTTCCTGTGAACTACTGGTAGCCTTCTGCTTTTTTATTTATACACACTTCTTATATATTCTATATTAAAGAAATTAGTTCTTTGTATTGTAAAGTCTTCCCAATTTATTTATCTTTTGATATTGTTTATTTTTAGCTTTTAGATTTTGTCATCCTTAGAAAGACCTTTCCCAATCAAATAATGTTTTTCAAATATCTCCCATATTTTCTTTTAATTATTTTATGATTTCATATTTTGCTGGTAAAATTTTGATCTGTCTACACTTATATTGGTATAAGATATGAGGTAGGAATCCAGCTTTTTTCAAATGGTTATCCAGTCTTTTTTTTCCTCAGTCATTCATACACATTAGAGAGAGCCACAGTGCTCAAGGAACTTAAACATATACCAACCCAAGTAAACTAAGTACAAAAAAAGCTCAATGTTCAATAATGTTGCTCAACGTTATGTCCTAGATTACCAGCTTCTCTGTAAACAAACAACAAAAAAGAAAAATACATTTATTAATTAGTATTTGAAACTAACTTTGTGCTTGGGTTAAAACCTCACTCCCACTTACATCTGCTCCACATGAAAGTGAAGAAGTCATTGAAATATTCTCTGCTGCTCTAACAGAAAGAGGCTACTACAACACAAAATATTTCTTTAAAATGCCCTTAAATGAAGTTCCCTTTCTCCTGTGGCTTCTCATGGAAATAGATGTGGAGGCCTCCCTTCTGTCAGCCCCTACAATCTTAGGCCGGCCTTGGGCAACCAACAGCCATGTCAGTGCTCAAGGGCTGGCTTCTGCTGGGTGCAAGGGAGGCGGATGGCCATGGATTAATAAACAAACATTTGGTCAATAACTCATCTTTTAAAATATTAAGAGACTTAAATAAATGTAGCTGGTACCATATACTTGTACAGGGCCATTTAACATGATGCCCCTTCCTAAAAAAAAAAAAACACTTGATGATGGTTATGATTCTTATAGTGTGCTGCTGGATTCTGTTTGCTAATATTTTATTTAGGAATAAAATTGATATTCATATATCAAGACTGGTCGGTAATCTTCTTTTTTTCTACTATATTTACCTGTTTTGATATCGATATTACACTCACTTCATAAAAAGACTTTAGAAGCTTTTCTTCTTTTACCAACTATGAAGAATTTAAACAGCATTTGAATGATCTGTTCCTTAAAGATTCTGAAGTCTTCAACTGTGAAAGCCTGACAAAACCAAGTGTTGGTAAGGATGTGGCACAAACGGACTTCTCATACACTGTACGTTGTGTCAACCATTTTGAAAATCTGTTTGGCAGTAGCTGCTAAGTGAGCCAACAATTCCTCTTCTATGTATATACCTAAGAGAAATGTAAACATGTCCACCAAGACATACAACAATAACAGCAGCTTTACTCAAAATAGCCAAACACTGGAAACCCGTTATGTCCATCAATAGGAATATGGATAAAATAAAATAGATGAAGCTCTCAAACACTATGTTGAGAAAAAGAAGCTAAACACAAGATGACATACTGTATGATTCCATTCATATGAAGTGTAATAATAAACAAAACCAATCCATGATGATAGAAGTCAAATAGCGGATACCATTTGGGGGAGGAAATGACTAGGAGTTGGAAGAGGAAGGTTTCTGGGGATCTGGCAATGTTCTATATCCCAATCTGGATGATATTTAAACTGTATGCTCACTTCACAAAAATTAAGTTGTATACTTATGATTTATTTCACTGTTTTTTATTTATGCAAAATTAACACAGTAAATTACATAAATCATAAGTGTTTTAACAGTCAGAGTTCAGTCAGGAGATAAAAAATACCCAAGTAACTAAAAGAGGAAAATTTAATATAAAAAACTATGAATTTGTAAAAGGTGGCTGACTACTGAAAGAGGTAAAAGAGAACTTTCAGGAATGCAAGCAGAGCGAATGCAGGGAGCAGTTACTATCCACAAGTCGCAGGGAGAGCACACAAGGAAGGAACTCTTCACTGGACAGGCCATGGCTCCAGCCCACTGGCTAGCAGAGTTCTCTGGCATGCCAGCGGGCTGAAGTTGGTCCACAGGAATCTACCCTCTGGGGTTCTGGTGGGACCAAAAAGCTGCCTACTGGAGTACTAAAGAAAGTCAGGGAGTAAGCAGGGCTGTCAGCCACCCCTTAAGAGAGAGGAAAAAACAAGCACACTGCACAGCCCACTGTGCCTTGCAGTGTCCCTCCCTCAACTTTACTGACAAAACCTAACACTGTGCTGGAAAGGAAAAAATGTTTCGAGTCCAGTTCAAGTATCACAAACAGAGCAAAGAAGGGTGCGTTTGGAGTTGAGAGGGAATAAACTGGTAACCTGCACAGGGGTACACACAGACTGATGAATTTTTACATATACATACACACTTGAGCAACCACCACCCGGACTAAGATACAGAACATTTTCATCACACCATCAAGTTTCCTAGCGCCCTCTTCTGCCAACACCCATTCCTGTTCTTCTAAGCAAAGCCTTTTTGGTTGTCCCCCTCAGGGTGTGCCACTTACTTTGGAGAACACTATTCTGCCAGCTTTGTCTGAGATCTGTGTCCCAGACCTGAAAGTGTCCCCTTTCAGGATCCTCCCATACCGCTATTTGACTTTCACTGCATTTGGCAGCCCCTCTTATTTTCTGGTTCAGGGTTATAGAAATCTCCTAGTTTCAGA